TCTTGGAAACAAGAGGCTTAGGAGAGGAAAGAGTCAATGGTAACTTGATGATTTCAATCACAGGGATCAGAGTGGGTGGTGGCTACACTAACTTTTGAAATAATGAAGTCAAAAGATGGAACAGGTTCTTGTGGATGGATAATATGCTTGATTTTGCACGGGGAGCGTTCAGAGTTAGTGTGATATTCCAGTTAGTTTGAACTACTTAGAATTAGGCAGTTTGAAACACAGGTCTGGATTTGGAAGTCTTGTGCACAGAAGCGATACCAGAGGCTGTAAGAATAAATGAAATGGTAGAGATGGAAAAGTACTAAAGAAACAACTGGGGAGGATACCCACTATAGGGAGCTGGAAAGGGATTGACAAATCAGTCAAGAGAACAAGAAAAAGGAGAAGACAGTATCTCTGAAGCCAAGAGAGGAAAGAATATCCAGTCAACAGTGTCAAAAACTGCAGAACAGTAAAGGAGGATGAAAGGGAAGGATGTATCACATCAAATCCATTGGACATGATGATTAAGAGGTTAGTTGTGACATTTGAGAAGACAATTGCAAAAAGGTGGTGAGGTTAAATGACAGATTGGAAGATGGAGGCAAGTAAGTATAAAGTAAATGGTAAGAGATCAATCACCAAGCTTGGGCTTTCTCTACATGGGACGATAGTCTTTGCATTGGAAAAAAACTGAACAATAATGGCTTATAAAAAGCCATGAATTCAATGATGAAATGAATTCAAATCACCTGGTCCAGATGAACTATATCCATGGAAAGAACTGTCATATGTGATTGCTAGCCGCTGTCAGTGATATTTGAAAGATCATGTGGAGAACTGAAGATGTATCATAGGACTAGAGAAGGGTAATTTTTCAATTTTCAAAAAAGAGAAGAAAGCAGAATCTGCAAATCATAGATCAGTGAGCTTGACTTTGGTTCTTGGCAAAATTCTAGAATATAAACTATCGCACCAGCCCCTTCCTCAAATTCCACAGTTGGTCTTATAGTTCATAAGTCCACAGTTATATACTTACCTCAAAGCACAGGCATTAAAAATCACATTGTATGAAATGTATCAATTAAATATTTCCCCAATAAAGCTGGTATACACCTTCCCACAAATACATATAACATCAATGGGAATTGCAAACAATTGTTGGCAGCATATGTGAAGATTTAAAGAAGTAAGTAACTCAAGTCACCAGGACACACACAATGAAGACCTCCTGTGCCACAGTGCCACTGTTAATGATGCCATCATGCTGCCCCTGATGCTAGGCACAGATCCATGGGCATGAGGTTGTAGAGCTTCTCTCTGCCTCTTTTTAGTTAGAGTTCACCACTGGGGTATTTTCTCAACCTCATAGAAGGATGAGTGGGTTCTGCCATTGCTCACTTAGCTTAAAGCTTAGAAGTTTTTGTTGTTGTTGTTTTCCTGCCACAGATCTTGCAGAAAAGTCAGAAGCTTCAAAAAAATCTAGTCATATTAGGGAAAAAAAAAATCTCAAGTGACTTTTCACCCTCTCTGTCTCCCTCCCCTTATCCTCCAAGGTCTAACTGTTTCTCTAAGCCTTAGCTGAAATAAGCTTTTCCTCTCTAGAAGGAGAGGAAATACCACAGCACAGACCGAACTCTTGGGGATCCAGAGCCAATTGACCTAGCTTGTATCCTCAGGTTGTCACCTATATTTCTTGGTCAACAAAGACTGATTCTCAATTCTGTCTGACTTAGAGTCAGAAGGTCTATATAACTCACTGCTTAGTTTTCAATTGTTAAACTGCTTCCAGTCAGCGTTCATTTAGCTGTTACTTTAACAGCAAAATTCCAAGATCTCTTAGGACCTAGGAACTCCAGTATCTCAATTACAATTTTTTTACTCTTCCATGTAAATGAAGATGAAAGGGGGAAAGCATGGTAAGCCCAGTGGCCATGAGCATGTCCCTCACCTAAATAAATAGCTAATTTTTCCTATGTGTATATCTGGCTAGAAAATCTTTCCAGGCTCTGATTCTGCTCTACATCTTAAATAAAAGAGGTATTTAGTGTGTCCTAGGATCAGAGAACTAGAGCTAGAAGGGAATTTAGAAGCCATTTAGTACAATTCCTTCATTTTATGGATGAAGATACTGAGGTCTAGAAAAGTGAAGGAACTTGTGCAAGGCCACACAAGTAGTAAATGGCAGAGCTAGGATTTGAACCCAAGTTTTTTTTTTTTATTTCAAATCCAGTTCTCTTTAATTTAGAGAAGAAATCAGTGTCCTTTAAGAAGCAGCATGGCTTCATAAAAAACAAATCACACTAGGTCCCTTTCATACAGGGTTACTAGACTGGTAGAATAGAGGAGTGATGTAATTTACCTAGATTTTAGCAAAGCATTTGACAACATGTCTAATGTCACTCTTATGGACAAAATAGAAAGATTTAAAATAGACAATAATACCGTTAGAAGAATTTGAATATTGTTGAATTGCCAGAACTATTTTATCTTTCTTACTCAGGAAACTCAGTATGGTATAGTGGATACAGTGCTGGATATGGATTAAAGAAGATCTGCGTTTGTCTCCTATCTCTGACACTTAACTAATTTTGTGACAATGGGTAAGTCACTGGACCTCCTCTTCTCTTTCTCTATAGCCTTCCTCTTGGTGATCTCATTTCCTCCCATGGATTCAATGATCATCACAATGTCGATGACTCCCAGATAGACGTATTCAGTCCTAGTTTCTCTTTTAAAGTTAAGTCCCATATAACCAACTCCCTAATAGACATTTCCACCCGGATGATACCTCAAACTCAATATGTCTAAAACAGAACTCATTCATTTTAACCCAAATCCAACCCTCTTCCAAATTCTCTCTCTCTCTCTCTCTCCCCCCCCCAACCCTATCTTTCTAATCAATTAGGTTCACAACCTTGGAGTCATCATCACCTTTTTAACTCTACCTCAGACTCTATATTGAGTTAGTCATAAAGTCTTGTCAATTCTATCTTCATAACATCACTCCTATCCATTCCCTTCCCTCCATTGATATGACCACCATTCTCAGCAAGCACTCATCAACTTTTTCCTGGACTGTCAGAATAACTTAGTTTGCATGCCTCAAAATTCTCTCCCCTCTCCCAACAGCTGCCAAGGTGAAATCTCTAAATCATAGGTAGGTCTGACTATGTCAGCCTCCTACACAAAACTTCAGGGGTTCCATACTGCAAATAGGATAAAATGAAAACTTTCCCATTTGGCATTTAAAACCCTTCACAGTGTGGTTGCAGCCTACCTTTCTGGACTTAGTGCACATTCCTTTGTTTTACAAATTCTATGTTTCATCCAAACAGATGTGTTTGCTATTCTTCATATCTGATATTTTATCTTCTGTCTCTATTCCTCTATATGTGTAGTCCCTCATACTTGCAATCTACTCCCTCCTCACTTCTACCTCATAGAACTCAAAGCTCTGCTCAGGTTGTTATTTCTTACATGACATCTTTTCAGATTTCACAGTTGCTGGTGCCCCCTCCCCTCCATTGCTTGTATACATTTTGTATTCACTTACATATGTGTATGTTGTTTCCCACAACAGAATGTAAGTCCCACAAGGGCAGGAACTGTTTTATTTTTTGTCTTTGTATCCCTACACTGAGTTCAGTGGCTGGTATATTGTAGGTGATTAATAAATGCTTGTTGAATGAATGACTCAATGACTTGGGACCTCTCTAAATCTTGCTTGTTCATTTATTTTTCATCTATAAAATGGAAACAACTCTTATGGTATCTATTTCCCAGTGTTGTTGTGAGACTCAGATTTGAGGATGTATGCCAAATACTTTCTAAACTTTGAAATGCTATTTAAATATCAGTCAATGTTAATAAGCAAGCACTCTACCTACCATAGGAGCTAATTCCCTGAACTCTTCAGTGTATCTTGACTTGATCATGATTTGCAGTCTGATTTGCTTTGCTACAAACATTTAGCTTTCTGAGTTGTTCTTGTCACCAAAGAGAGAATGAGAGAGTCAGGCTGATGTGGATACATGCAACTGGGGTTCCCTCTTATCTCCTTCTCTCCATCCTAGTTCAAGCTTTCAGAACCTATTACCTGGATTTGTACAGTAGCCTCCTAATTGCTCTCCTTCTGTCTCTTTGCTCTTAAATCATCCTCTACATACCTGCCAAAATGATATTCCTAAAATGCAGGGTTGATCATGCCCCTCCCCTATTCATTAAACCCAAGGGATTCCTTATTAGTTCTAGGATCAAATACAAATTCCTCTTCTGTGCATTTAAAACTCCTCAGAACCTGGCTACCATTTATCTTTCCACACTCATTATACGTTACTCCCTTTCATACACCATTTGGTCTGATCGAACTGGCCTTTGATACAGTTTAACTGGAAAAACTTTGTGAGGTAAATACTATTATTACTGCCATCTTACAGATGAAGAAAATGAGGTGGTTTTTTTTTTTTGGTTTTTGGTTAGGCAATGGGGGTTAAGTGACTTGCCCAGGGTCACGCAGCTAGTAAGTGTTATGTGTCTGAGGCTGGATTTGAACTCGGGTCCTCCTGAATCCAGGGTCGGTGCTCTATCCACTGCGCCACCTAGCTGCCCCTGAAAATGAGGTTTTAGAAGAATAAGTGACTTACCCATGGTCACATAGCTAGGTAGTTAGGATTCAAACCTAGACTTCCTTGACTTGGTGCTCCTCACAAACAACATCCCACCTCCTGTCTCCATGCCTTTGTATCTCTCATCCTCCCACCCTAGGATGCACTGCCTCTTCTGTGGTACCCCTTAATTTTCTTCAAAGCTTAGTTCAATACCACCTCCTCCTGTCTTTCCTGATCCCTCAACTGGTAGTCCCCTACCCCTCCTTGCAAAATTATTTTATATTTATTTTGTATGCATTCTCCTCTGATAAAATGCAAACTTTTTGAGGGCAGGGACTTTCTCATTTTTCTCAGTATCATCAGCTCCTGGCATAGCACCTGAAACATAGTGAGTGCTTATTGGTGCTTGTTTCAGCAGCACATACAACAAAATTAGAATAATGCAAAGATTCATATGTCATCTGCATAAGAGTGATATGCAAATTCTTGAATTGTTCCATATTTTTAAACTGAAAATAAGACAAAATTGAATTTTTAAAAAAATAACTGCTTATTGATTGATAAGTCTTAGAGAATTGGAAAGATATGGCTGAGTACCTCTTTACCAGCTCCCAAGTTAGGCAATCCTGGAAAAAAAATGATTAGTTCAATGACCAAGAGAGTGATTTTCACCTTCTCTCTTTCTAGGGTCAGGGAAAAGCAGCAGGAGAATCTTTCCCAACCTCTATTCTTCAGGGATTTACTCAGCCTACTTTTTGGAGGCTGTCCTACCCAAAAAATGTTGGTATTCTTTTGGAGTCACATTTTGAAACACCTGAATGAGTCTGGTGCTGTCTTGCGAGACACTGTTTATCTGGGTAGCTTACTGAGTAAAAGAAAGAGAAGGCCATATGTTGAAACGATTCCCCTAATCAGTTCCTTGGGAGTCAGAGAGAGAGACAGAACTCAGCCTAAAGAAAAATTAAACCACCACCTGGAAGATCACTCCATTACTCTTCTTTCTGCCCCACATCTCTTGGGCCCTTTTATGCCATGTAAAGCCCAATTTGTTCAGATTATGATGACTGGAACCATCCAAAGTTATTCCAGGGAACTGAAGGAAAGCTCTGCCCAATCTATATTGTTCCCTGGCAGCCTGAGGCCAGAGGCTGCTTTGCTTCAATCTATTTTGCTTTCTCCAGCTACAGGACTCTGCTCCAGAGCAGGGGTCTTGGTGCCTATCCCACCCTGTCAAGGCAAACACATAGCTCATGAAAGGCAGCTAATATTCTTCATCCCATCTGGGAGCATGGAAGAATTAAATCTTTTTTGTCTGCTTTGAGAGTCAACCAGTCAGTAGGTCAACAAACATTTATTGAGGACTCAGACACTCTACAGCCTTTGGGTATGTTTGGATTGTATCTGGAATTTGTTCTGCTGCATCAGAAAAAGCTCTTAAAATCCACTTCTTTTCTGAGGCTTTTCTGAGCCAGTTAGCACCATTGGTCTTATGAGATCAAGGTCCCAAGACGGATCAACTTTTTGGGCTAGTTAGCTCTACACAGAAAAATCAGGTTTTATAACTAAAGGCTGACCTAACCCTTAACTATTAATAGGACATGTATTTAAGCTATGTCCCACCTATATAACCCCTTTCTTCATGGACTCTGGATTTGATCTTGGAGGCTGACCCATCGACCATCATTTTCTCTCAGTTTATTGCTCCCACTTTTCGTTATAGAAAAATCTCTTAGTATACTCATGGTGGATCTTGTATCTAAGTATCCCCAAATGTAGTGTTCTACCTCCCATGCAAGCATTCAAGTACCAAAGTCATATTTATTTTACCCCACAGAATAATGAATAAGATGCAAACAACTCAAAGGAGCCCATAATCAGATATGAAAAGCACACAAGATACCCATTTAGCTACTCAGTTTCCCCTAGAAGGCCACTGAACTGAGAATTACCAGAAAGGAACCTTTTGACCATTCTGGTGAATCAACAGAATCATAGAGAGTACACATGAGACTTATATAATTCCCACATAGTTTATACTCCTCTCCCTTTCCCCAAAGCAAATATAATCCGATGGCTGATGAACAAGCAATTTCTTTCTCTCCCTCTCACCCCGACCTATCCTGCATGAGTTGGTCATTGGCTTTGGTCTCCAAGTAGGTGATCTTTCTCCAAGGAGGATGATGAATTAGGACATCCTCTTATCTCTCTAAGAGGTCTGGGGTATAAATTCTCAAACTTGGGGTTTCCCACAAAACAGTTCCCAAATCTAGAACTCCTTTCTTGGGTCAAGTGAACATGGACATGTCTGCTTCTGCCTTGTGCTTCTGTAGGACATATCAGTGCTCCTGATGCTACCAGTTCTTGAGCTGGGAAAGTCTCTAGTAAAGTAAGGTTTTTTTTCTCTCACACTCGAAAAGGGAAATAGAAAGCAGATGACTCCTAGGAACCTGAGATCTAGGAACTCCCATTTCAGGTCCTATGCAGCTCATTCTCTGAACACAATTAGCTTCACCATTAACTTCTGCTGTGGGGGGAGAAATGGAACATGGGTCTAGGCTCCCCACTCACTATAATTAGGATATCAATCTGTTTTCTTAAGGGGAAAAGAAAGGTTTGAGGAAGATGGTCCAGTGATTCTCCATCAGCCAGTCATTAGAAACCAGCCCTAATCTCTGAAACCCAAACAATAAGGCAACAGTAGGTGTGCCCACCTTCATGGGTAAATGCTTTCAAACAAAGTATCATGTCCTTCATTTGTAATCTTATCAAGTTGATTGGCAGATTCATCTTATTAAACACTTCCCTGATCCACCTACCTTTCACCAACTTTGAGATGTTGTTCCAGTAGTGCTGATATATTGATTGCATTGTCTACATTCTCTTAGTCAGTACCTCTTGTGGCAAATGGCACATCTTTGCAAGATGTTTGGTTCTAACAATAATAAAACAGTAACAGCTCTAATTAGGGGCATTATTGATGGCCCTGGAAAAGTCCATGGGTAGCTAATGGGTCTGTAAGTCTTGAGTATACTATTATTACAACCTTATTAGCACTATGTGCAAACCAAACGAGCTATCCACACATATATTACTCTCTTTCCAGTTCAGCCAAACTGACCTTGTGCTGTTCTTCAAACATAGCATTCCATGACCTATCTCTATGCCCTATTCCTGGAATATACATTCCCTATATCTCTACCTCTTAGCTTCCCTCAAAGCTCAGCTCAAGTGCTAACTCCTCCATTAGACTTTCCCTCATCTCTCCTACTGCTACAGCTTCCCTGAACCTACACCCAACCATTACATTGAATTTACATTTGCATATACTTATGGTCTGTGAGTATCTCCTCACAATTTAGTCCTGAGCCTGAATCATTGGACTGACCTGAATTAGGCTTGGCCCAGAATACTAGCCCTTACTGGTATTCCAGGCTGGAAGAATGAGAAGGTTAAAAGAATTTGTTAGACTTGGGAAAAATCTATACCAGAAAGCAAAAATAATAACTAATACACATTTAGCACTTCAAAGAACTTTACAAACATCTAATTTGAGCCTCACAACAATCTCATGTTTGAGGATCAGAGAGGCTAAGAGACCTGCTCCTGGGCAGGCATACAGCTAGTAAGATTCAAATGCAGGATTTGAACACAAGTCTTCCTGATACCAGGTCCAGAACTCTACCTACTACCCCACTTTGACTCTCAAGACTTAGAGGGATCCTCAATAATTTTTCAGAGATTAAAGGGGTACCAAATCTTTAGAGGAAGTCACAGGGAGATAATATCTTGGGGAGGGAAAGGAAGGGAGTGAAAGAATAGGCCCCAGTCTCCCTTCCCATAGGCTGTTGGTCCCCTATCCTCAATCTCACTTCTGCTTCCTTCTTCTTCCCTTATAGCCCTAATTTCAGGAGGGTATGTCACAATTTCCAGCTAAACTTCTGGATCAGAGATCATGTTTCCTATCTACAGTCTATTAGTGCCTGCCCCCATTAGCATTGTCCTTGATACTTGTGCTGTTACTAAATCTATAAGCTATTCCTCTGCCTTCAAGTCATGGTCCTTTAAAATCAAAAGCACATTTATACCTACCTCTAATTTTTTAATACACAAAGACAATTCATTTTCATTTACCTTCAACTGATGCTACAATTTTTCTAAAACCATTAATAAGATGTAGGAGATTCTTAATTTTGCTATATTTCTATTCTTTTTGTTCAGCCTCTTAAGCAATCATTGGGTTAACCCTACTAGGTCAGTAGGAGCTTATTTCATTGAGAAGCCCCATATACTCCAATGTCTGCCCATCAGATCAATGGAAACTTTCTTTCTACTCAACTATCCTCCTTTCCTTTCAACAATGAATTTAGTGATGGAGTCATTATAATCAACTCCTTGCTGACTCATACCATATATTTTGGGCCTGGCTTAGCTCAGGTCACTCCAATGATTCAGAATAGGGATTAGAATGAAATGAGGCATTTGCTACCCATAAAAATTCATTAAAAAGAACTTTTCTTCAAATGAGATTAATAAGGATACAATTATAGATAAAACACAACTGCACTCTCTCAGTTTTGCATTGCCAATAGCAATGGCTAAGCTAGATCAGAATGGTACTCCAGCAGGGTAGTGGGATTCTGCCAAATCTTTGATACAAACTCTCCACAGGTTAGCCCTTTTGTGCCTCAGGTGGCCAGGAAACCAAACCAATGCTGATCACAATGGCCACCTCTCCCCCATAGAAAGAAATCAGCTCAGCCTACATTAAAGAGACAACCCTCTCACAACAACTGCTGAGCCTCCTATTCTGATGCATATGTTCTCATCCCTTTAGTCAATCAATAAACATTTTCTGTGTGTTAGGCACTGTGCTAAGTACTGGGGATAAAGAAAGGCAAAAGACAGCCCCTGTTCTCAAGGAGCTCACATTCTAATGGCAGGGGGGAGGAAGGAACAACATGCAATAAGACACATACAGTATAAATAGGAGGCCCTACCCTTGGGGAGGAGCAGGAAACTAGAATATGAGTTGAATCTTGAGGGGAGCCAGAGAAGCCAGGAGTCAGAGGTAAGGAGAGCATTCCATTCATTGGGGACTGAGTGAAAAAGCAAGGAGATGGGAGATAGAGTTTCACAGAAGAGGAACAGCAAGAAAGCCCATGTCATTGGATTATAGAGCATATGAAAGAGAATAAAAGGTAAGAAGACTGGAAAGGTAGGAGGGGGCCAGCTTGTGAAGGGCTCCAAAAGTCAAACAGAGGATTTTATATCTATTCATGAATAATATAACTCCAGTGAGCCACTGGAGTTTTTACCTGGGGTGGGGGTGGGGAGAATAGTCAGACCCTGCTTTAGAAAGATCATTTTGGCAGCTTAGTGGACGGTGGGCTGGAGTGGGGAGAGTTGAAGCAAGCAGACCCATCAGAAGGCCATGCAAGCATGAGGGGCTGAGGAGCTGCACCAGAATTGTGCCTGTATCATTGGAGAGAAGGGGACATATGCAAGA